TCCTGCTGCTTCTTGGCTCAAGCTGAGCAGAAACACTGGGAATTTCTCACCAAGACAGGAACAGCTTGGCGGTATCACACTGCCCAAATGTTCCATTTCAGTTCCCAAACCGAACCACCGTGGGATGCTGTATTCCAAGTGTCCCAGTGATTCCCATTCGTGTGTGGTCTGTGTCCTATGCCCACGGTTTGACTTGTACAGTTCTTTATTTGCATTAGAAAAACAATCACTGGTTCCTGGATTGGCCATGTTGACAAGCGCTTGTGCGGCCCCGGACCGTGGAGGCTCGACAGCTTTTCTTGCCACTTTTCTTGCAGATTGTTTTTTGCTCTCGCTCTCAAGCTTCTCAGCCTTGCTTGCTGCTTCAAAGACATGAGTTTGTCAGGACAGTAGCAGCCCAAAGACTGGCACCTCTAGAGGCATCTGGATCTCCCGTTTGAGCCCAGTGTGCTAGTCACGGACACCCGGTAATCCCTTGGCTGGTCATTACAGAATGGCTGCTTTTCCATCTGTAGAAAGCATGAGCGTGGTTTGGGCGCGTAGTTCTTACAGAGCCTGCTTTGTGTTTTCTGGGTTGCTCGCTGTCCCACGTCTGCACATTCATCTGCCTATTTTCCACGCCTCCTTACACAACACACCTCTTTCCTCCTCTTCTCTATTCTCGCTTTGTCTTCAAAGCCAGGGGTAGGAATGGATTCAGTTTCCCCACCCACTGCACAGGAGCTGCAGTAAAAGGCCGTCGGAGAGAGGGTTGTGTTTGCAGCTAGTTTTCTAAAGAACCAGTGGAAATACTGAAATGCGGATGCTTAAGCTACCGACAGACAGCCGTGTGTGTACAAAAGCTTCCTCTGGCCTCATGCAGTTGTTTTCTTTGTGATCCTTTTGAATCAGAACCAAGGAAGTGAAGTTCCTGTATGAAATTTTCCATATTCTACATTTAAATATCAAAGATTCAAGGAGCAAGTATACCCATTAGTCCTTCTATTAGCTTAATGCCGTGACATAAGCTGCTTTACCTTAGTGTGGTACAGACTGAATTATCAAAGCTGCGGCCTCGAAGAAAAGTTTTCAGAGAGGTTCGCTGTTAATAAAGGAAGAGCATCACCCCGTTTCCTAGGTAACAGAAACTTGTTTCAGATTATTCACGGTGGCCCTGGTTTGAAAGCTCCCACTCATATTTCATCGGACCTGCTGGTCCTCCTTGATACGTGTGTTTCTCCCATGCTCCTTCCTGCCTGGTCACACTCCCGCATCCCAGACATTCTCAAATCCCGAATTTGCTAGAATGTCCGCTTGTCCCTCTGTTCGCCTGTGGACAGCGTCTGTGTGCTCTGATTCCCAGCTCCCGGGGGCGGGCTGCTTATTGACGCTCTTTGTCGTGCCTTTTCTTAGCCCGCGCCACCAGAAGAACAGTTTGGGCATCAAGCCGTCCATTTTACAATCGGGCCCCCGGAGACGAACCTTGACACCCCTCCTCTAGCGACAGTCCCTCCAGTTCCCAAACCGAGAACACTTCAGCCCGGGAAAGGTGCTGCTGCCTCCGGGAAGCCAGCGCCGGACGAGGCCCCGCCCCCTCCGGAGGCCCCGCCCCTCGTGCCCCAGGTGCCCCCGCGGAGGAAGAAGTCGGCGCCGGCGGCCTTGCACCTGCAGGTGCTGCAGAGCAACTGCCAGCTTCTCCGGGGGCCCCCCTGCAGCAGCCCCAGCAGCGACTGTCCCCCCGCACCCCTGCCTGCTGGGGGCGCGCTCTTCCCCCAGCCGGCTTTCCTTGGCCCTTCATCACCTGCAAGCCCTGAGGCTGATGGCACCAAGGACACGAAGTCGGAGGCCGCCCCCCTCCTCGATGATTATCAGGACCCCTTCTGGAGCCTTCTCCACCACCGTAACCTGTTGAATAACTCCTGGCTTCCCAAGAGCCCTGACCCCCTGGACTCGGGGAACAGGAACCTCGGAAGGCCACA